GTTGCTGCATAATGGTACGTCGCGCTAAATTCATGGCTCTCATAGCTCGTCTTGGTGTTGCCAGATGAGGTGACCGGATATCACCAACATAACGTGGATCTGGTATCATCGGTGGAGCAGAATCACAAATGGCTGATGTAATGGCAGGGACCTGATAGATTGTGTAAAACTTATATTATTATATATATTTACTATATTCAATATAAAACAGGGGATTTATTATTTTTAGATCATAAAAAATAAAATAAATTAATGGATATATTAGGATTAAATATATGTAACGAAGTAATACTTACTGGTAATTCATGAATAGCAATCGTTGAATCAATACTATCATTAAAATCTAAGCGTTTTTTCTTGCTGCTGCAATGAGCATCTTTCCGCCGTTTCAAGGGAGTTAGGCAGTTGTTCAGAAAAATTTCACAATTGCCTATTTCAGTACAATGAGCAGGATCGACATCCACATTGACATCCATACTACTCATATCCTCTTTAGCAAAATCCTGAGATTTCTTGCGTGTACCACAAGAGCTTGTGATTCGATTGGAAGGAGTGTGTGTAATATCTGTCACAGAAACAGTATGTAATAGGTTATTAAAAGCCTCAAGCACAAATCAAAGTCGTACACAAGTTGTATACATGAAAGGTTAATATTTTGGCATCTTTCAAGTTTACACTTTTTGGTCAAATATCTTATTTAATTATTAAAAAATTAACGCCTTGGTATATGTTTTGATTCGCTGCTGGTGTACGCCAAAACATTTAAATAGATATACAAACAAAAATAAGACTCACTCTCTGTTACTGCTGTTGTGGACTGTGAATAATTCACAACGTTAATGTTGTCATTCGAAGAATCACTGTTCGTGATTCCAGTGGAACAGATATTGCCATCATCAGTCTTACTGGCATTTCCAACGAAGGTGGAAGGTGAGGTGCCTCCACCAACCATATATATACAAGGCACAGCTTCTGGTTGCACAACGATACACCTTGAACGCTTCCTCAGATCCTCGGGTTTGAAGTGATCTGTACACAACACAATCTGTGTGAGTCATACAAATTGTTCTCGGTCTTGTTACAGAATTTCAACCACTGCTTTCTGATGTGCTTATTTGATGGAAATCTGTTGACAGATATAATAAAATAGATTTAAATAGTTAAAATGTAAAAAAAATAGTTTTAATATTAATTAATTTAAATAGTTCAATAATTAAATTTATTGCTGAGATTACTGAAATCACGCAAACTGACAATAAATTAAATACATTTTTACTTACCGTATATAGGAAACCGATTTGTCCTTTCTACCGCATAAAATACAATATATCATCTTGCTTGAATTTTGGCGTACGTTCGCGGATCAACACGTTTTAGAAAATATCTAAGAAATAACCGTGTTTCAACATATGTCACTAACATAACCTTATTTTTCAGTGAGCCAAACCGGCCAAACAAATGTAGACCGCGCATGCGCACTTTCGAGCAGTCACTCACAAGAGAGAGGCAACTATGATTTTCTTTCTCACTTCCTCCGGACATGTTTTTCTTCCGAAAACAATAGGCATTCCGCTTCCATTTCTATATGTTCTAAG